CCCTAAACCCTAATGTCTGGCGGGTTTATGCAATGGGCAACTACAGCAGCGGCACCATCATTATGGTCGTCCCTCACCAGGACTGGTCAGTCAGGTCAGGTCTGGCTGGCTCCTGGACACCTGGAAAAGAGGTGACTTTTGAGTCGACTCAAAAGTCACCTAGTCGACTCAAAAGTCACCTAGTCGACTCAAAAGTCACCTCGTTTTGAGTCGACTCAAAAGTCACCTCGTTTTGAGTCGATTCAAAAGTCTGGCTGGCTCCTGGACGCCTGGGAAGTCTGCCAGGCGGATGCAATGGGCAACTACAGCAGCGGCACCATCATCATCATGGTCGTCCCTGACCACCAACACAGGTCAGATCCGATCAGATGTGATCCATCTGCAAGGTGTCCAATCCAAGCCTGTCAAGCTCCATGTTTTGGGGTTATGATGCAAGCCTGTCGACAGGCCTGATACATCATCTGCTGGGGTTCCAACCCAACCCTGTGAGGGTGAAAGCGAAGAGGTGAGCGAGCGGATCCATGCAAGCCTGGCTGGCACGATGGATCCACCCTCCCAGCACTGCTTGACACATGCTGCCCTGCAGCACCGCACTACAACCACTCGTATGAGGTCCCTTATAGGAGGCGTCTCAAAGGAGGCGTTTCCTAGGGTCGTGCTCTCCCTCCACCCTTATGGGAGGCGTCTCAAAGGAGGCGTTTCCTAGGGGGGTGGCGCTCTCCACCTCGTGGACGTGTTGATCCTTCCCAATGCAGCTCGCCCCACCGTGGTTGTAGCAGTGGGCTCACTGCACTGCGCCTCTCCTCCCCTCCCTGCACTGCAGCCTGCAGGCCTCTAATGGGCCGTTTTCTCAAGCCCACCCCTCCCAATGCAGCTCGCCTCACCGTGGTTGTGGCAGTCAGCAGCTCATTGCACTGCGCCTCTCCCCTCCCTGCAGGCCCCTGGTGGAGAGCATCATAGGGCATCCCATCCGCTCCGTGCTTGGCCTGCCCACCCCGAGGAAGGATCTGTATGGCGTGAACGTGTGCGGCAGCATCAACCCCACCTTTCCAGTGCAGCCCTTCACGGACTTCTTTCCTCTCGTCCCTCCGGATCTCCGCACCAACCTGCTAAAGGGACAGCCCATCGCGGGCGCTCCTCTCTCTGCAGGACCCGGATACGTGGCACTTGGTTCGTGCGCTCCTCTTTCCCCCATGCCCTACTACCACCTCTCTTGGTGTTTCAAGTATCAGCCCTGCTTGATGTTATGTTTGTAAAGGTGTGGTTTGCAACAGGAGATTATCATTCATTTTGTGTTTTCTAATGTTCATCCCTTTATGATGTATCGTTTCTTCTTGGTTTCCACTTGTCATGATGATGAAGCCTCCATTTGGTATCGGGACTACAAAGCAAGGCATGGTTCAAAGGGATGCTGCTAGGTCTGATCGGCCATGTGCTATTGGCAATGTGCCCTTGTTCTCTTTTAACCGACCATGCATTTTGTCTGTTTCTCGCCACATGTGGTCTTAAAGAAGGGAAGGGACCCTTCAACCAACCGTTCAGTTGTACACCCTCCCTGCCCCTCCCTGCTTCCCTTGCAGTGTTTCTCATTCCCATCTTCCGCCATCCTTTGCCAGCCAGTGCATCTTTGCAACAAATCCGAAACAGCATTAGCATTGCGTGGGCCGGTGTGGTGCATCTTGAGATGATGGCCCGAGAATTATTGCACATGCTAGAAAATGGTGAGTTCTTTAGGCATGAGCAACGTGTCGGCCCGGGTTGGGTCGACCCGACCGTATCGGGTCGGGTTATTTAGCTCGAGTCGGTTCGACCCGCGGCCTGACTTGCAAGTTATTGTGGACGATTTTAGCTAGCTAAGTACGGAATACTAGAGTAAACTAGGGGTGGGGTGGGGGGGCGGGGTTTGTGCTATGCACTGAAATCTGGCGGGGACGCTAGGTTGTGTCCAGGTTGACTAAATCAGCTGTCCGATTTGACGACCTCTTCTGTAAAATGGCGAGATCTGTAAACTGTTGTGACATTAGGGTTGAGCAAGAAGTCAAACCCCTGTTCGGTTGGACTCTACTGAACGGGGTTTTTTCTGCCCAAACAAATTGACCAGAGAGGCCCAACAAAGTGAGCACGGTCATTGACACGAAGATGCGGGCGGAATCGCGATACGCGCGGTTTGGTGGTCGAAATTCTCCGATCCGCACAGGTCGGAGGGCGGGATCACTGATCCACATGAATCGGCTGTCGAAATGTGCCTATCCGCACTGATCGACGGTCGAAATGGTCGATCGGCGGAGGATCGGCGGTTGTTTTGCACGAATAGTTAGTCAATGACCGTCCTGAGTTTGGGTCGGGTCGATCCAACCGACGAACCCTCCGGCCACAGCCGATCCGACCCTTATCAGTCCTGGTTTGGATTGACAGGCCCGGGCTTCCGACCTGACTACAGGTCGACCCGACCTGACCCATACCCAGCTTGGGTCGAGCAAAGTTGGGTCGGGTCATGTCCTCTTCGTCCCGCCCGCCTCCTCCTATCAATATCCCATTTCAGGTGTCTGATGTGTGAAACTCTGGGCACAACGTGAGTAGATTAATTATGCACTACCATGGCTGGCTCGTGTTGTGTGATTTCCTTTGTGCGTAAATTCCATCTTGCCCCTTCCGTTCCGCGATATGTTTGTAACTCTGAATCTGACCTTGGCTTGCTTTATCCTTTCTCTCCTCTCTGCAGGCACCAGCTCATACTCATTTGCCATGTATGACAACACGGAAGCAGGCGTGCTGAAGCGGATGTTCAGCCTCTTCTCTTGCTTGTTCCTCCCTCCCTCTCCTCTCCTCTCTGCAGGCACCAGCACATACTCATTTGCCATGTACGACAACACGGAAGAAGGCGTGCTGAAGCAAATATATGGCCCAGAGGAGCCACAATTGGAAAGCGGTTCTGCATTCCCTTTTGTGCTGCCCACAACTGCGGTTGTGCGACCCGAGCATGTGGAGCCTTTCCCGGAGAACATGCTTGAACGCTCATTCGAAGCACACTGCGGGTATGTATACATTGCGGGTCGCAAACATGAGGATTGATGTAGGCATGAGTAGGCGTGAGTAGGGGTGAGTAGGGATGAGCAAAACTCGAGCATCAAGGGCCAAAACGCTAGTGTGACGCTTGGTTGGTTGCCTGAGCGTCAATTCCAACTTAAAAATGTACCCAATTCAAAACATAGAACATGTAGCTTTAGGCACGACCAAAAAAGTAACCTCTTGTTGGTCAATGGCCAGCTCATGATGGCCCAGAAAACGCCCCGGGCGGGTGGGATTGTGGTTCGTTCGTGGTGTGGTGTGCCCTTCCAGGCTCGTGAGTAAGAGGATGATGTTTTGCTACAATCACTCACGCATCTCTGGGTGCAGAAATTTGTTGAACCGGCAACTCAATAGCATGATCAGGCCTGTTTGTTTAGTAAAAGGAGGCGTGGGGAATGCTACGAACAGGTACAAACAGCCCTTGAACAAAATATGGCGAAGGCATTCGCTCATGTCTTCGTAGCTTTGAGCTGGCTGATGAGCCCTTGAACAACAGGTGCAAACCACCTTTGAACAAAATATGGACCCTAGGACACGTTAGCCTGGAACTCGTCGCGTCGAGATTGACTATGCGGTACGGTATTGTAATAGGGTTGAAACGGCGCTCGCCCAGTTAGAATGTTTCGTCTAAGAGGCTGCAAATGGAAGCTCAATGAAGAGCAGAATCTCTCCCAAGCAATTCAGCATAAATGAGAAGAGATGGTCCCAGGATGAGCGAGTTTATTGGTAGACTTTCGTCACATTTTCGCTCGTTCGCTTGGATTGTACCTTCCTTAACTTGCCCAAAATTCCTCTTGCGGCAATAAAATAATGACCTTCTGTAGAACGGGCATGAAGAAAGCGAAGGGTGCCATGTCTTTCATTTTTTTGCACTTTTACCTTCTGCTTTTCGAATGTGCAGGTTTCAGCTTCCCCTGCCTACTTGGGACCTCGTGTATGCTCCCATGCTGTTGGGCTTGCTGGTGCTGCTGGTGGCAGTGCTTCTGTCCACCGTGATAGTAGTACTGGCATGGAAGAAGAGAAATCTAGAAGCAGATGTGAAGGAGATTCAGCTGTGCACGGCCATCTTGGAGAGAGCTGAGCGGTCCAAGAGTGAGGCGGTGGCCAGCACGTCGCATGAGCTGCGCACCCCAATCATTGGCATGATGGGTGAGTGAGGGCATGGCAGGATGGATGGGAGCATGGCATGATGGGTGAGGGAGAGCCTGGCATGATGGATGGGGGCATGTCATGGTGGGTCGGAGCATTCGTTCATGGATTGCACTAGTAGTTACGTAATTCATTGTTTTCCATGTTTTTTTTTTATAGAATAACGTGTTCTACTCACGATGCACATGCAATCACTTGCTGCTGCCATTCCCCTCTGGAATGCGTATTTCTTGCCCCTCACAGGCATGATTGAGGAATTGCTAGAGACATCGTTAGAGGAGTGGCAGTGTGAAGACCTTCGGGTGGCGAGGGCGTGTGCGGGTGAGACGGTGGAGCTCATCAACCGAGTGTTGGACCTCGCCAAGCTGCAGGCCGGCAGGCTGCAGCTCGAGACTCTCCCCTGCTGCCTGCGCCGCATCGTGCGCGAGGCGACTGCAGTTGTTGAACCGACTGCACCGGGAAATAATTTGCAAGGTACGGATGCGCATTGAGTCGCTCTTCTCTTTGACTTCAAGACCTTTGAATCGTGTGTATTGTGAGCTGATTTTTCGTTTGTTTGTTTCTTTGTTGTTTTTTTGTTAAATGCAGTGACAGTTCATGTGGCTGAGAACGTACCAGAAACTTTGCTTGGCGATTCAACTCGGCTCTTGCAAGTCATGGCTGAACTTGTCGGTGAGTCTTACAAAAGTGTAAGGGGATGCATCAAGCAACTAGCGATTTGGTGCTTTCTCAAACAGGTTCAAGTTTTTGTCGTGCATGCAATATCAAGGTCTCTCTTTAGTTTCGTCAGTTTGTAATTCAGCAGCATGTAGAGTCAAAATCGCGGACAGGACCTCAACTGGGGGATGAAGGAGGCGGTTGATTCAACTGTGTGCAGATTTTCACTACAGAGTGAACCACTTGGTAGGCCTCGAACTGAACCGCGAGTGTTCAGCTCCAACCAGCTCAGCCGGCTCATGCACTCTAGTTCCTCCATATGTATCCTTGACATCCTAGCATATTTCGCGGTTCATAATTTAGGCTTCTTCACACTCTACGATCTCCAACTAGAAATACTATATTCTTCCATGCATTGCAGATATAATCCTCCTGTGTCTCCCCTCCCCAATTCCCCCTCCCCTCCTTGGCTACCCCCACACTCCTCCCCCACCCCCTCTCCGGCCCCACCACACCCTTCCCTCCAGCGAGTGCCATGAACAACACGGCAGCCGGCCACATAGCCATCCGTCGCTGGTGCATCCTTCCACCACATGCTGCTGGCATGAGCTGGTTTTTGAGAATTCTCAAAACCCACCCCCTCTCCGGCCCCACCACACCCTTCCCTCCAGCGAGTGCCATGAACAACACGGCAGCCGGCCACATAGCCATCCGCCTCTGGTGCATCCCTCCACATGCTGCTGGCATGCCTCCTCCTCCAGCCACTGCTCCCACGGGCGCCACACAAGCCTCCTCTGAGCCTCCCCCGGCGGCCTCAGCGCCCCATCAGCTGGCCGGCTGTGTGCTGCGCTTCCCTCCGCCCACTCGCCTGCTCTGCCTCCCCCAGCGCCGCCCAGCCAGCCGCGGAGGTCCCGTTGGCAACAGGGGTGGGCAGGAGTGCAGCAGAGACGGCATGGGCAGTGCAGTGCAAAGGGAGGGTGGGGGTGGGCGGCTGGAGGAGGAGGTGAGGGAGTGGGTGGAGGGGGCGTGTGCAGTGAGGGAGGAGGGCGAGTGGATGGTGGTGGTGGCATGTGAAGACACGGGCGGTGGTATACCACCCGAGGAGCTGTGGGGGTTGCTGGACCCACATGGCCTCGCTTGCCACTCGCCGCACGACATGCATGGCAGCGGGCAACATAAAGTCATGGTCAGTGCCTGATTTCTTGCTTCAGGCTCGCGCTGTTCTACATGTCAAATTGCTGCTAGCAATCTGAGTACGTACTGAAACAAGGGATGTGATTTGGCAGTCTGTTCTCCCTCCATTCACCACCATTCTTGCTCTGGTCCGCTCCGGTCCGCTCCAGATTCCTAGCTCTCTCGGGCATGTGAGACAGGCAAACTGCCACTTGGATTGGATTTGCGAATCCTTGGTTCCGATTTGGAAACTGAGCAGGAGAGAATACGGTCGTTGGGGAGGGCAGAGTCATGGCGGCAGCGGGAGCGCAGCGTGTGGGATCCGTTGCAGTGCGACCGCAAGGCAGCTGCTGGCCCCCGCTGGACTCCCTACCCTGTTCGCTTCCTGCTCTCCACCTCCCTTGTGAGCGTCTCAAACTCCTCTATGAGCTCTCCACCTCACTTGCATGTTTCTTATTCTGTCCACCAAGATCTTGGTACTTGCATAACATTTTCTCCCTTGTAGAGTGCCTTAATTTACTGTACCAAAGCTGGTGAAATTCTCCCCTCACTTCCCTCCACTAGCTTTTGCTACCTTTTTCTCCCCGCTCTAATACCAGCTACTCTTGCCCCACTTTACTTTACCTTCCACTATCCACTCTCCTTTGGCCAACCTTCCGCACGCCACTCTCTTCTCACCTTCCTTTCTTCACTCCACGCTCCCCCAACCCCTTCCCAACGATCCCTCCTTTTCCTCTCAATGTCCCCGCATGGCAGGTGGCGGAGATGCGGGGGGGCATGGCAGTGCTGTCAGACGCCTCCACAGGCACCACCATTCTGCTGGCGCTACCCCTGGGGGGAGGGGAGGGCGCCAGCAGCAGCATGGGAGCTGGTGAGGAGAATGGGGAGCAGCACGAGTCAGAAGGGGCTGATGAGGAGCGTGTGGAGCGAGAGAGCGGATGGCAGGGAGGCATGGATGGGCCAGCCAATGGAGCCGCCGCTCTGCCTCATGCTGCTGCTGCTGCTGCCTCGGTGCAACCAGCTTCGCCACCACCGCAGCGGTCAGCAGCAGGGGCACGGGCACTGGTTCGTGCGCGCACGTGTCCGCAACTGGGTGGCGGGGAGGGCGCAGGGGAGGCGGAGCGGGTGGTGCGGGGGGTGGTGGCGGGGCGGTCGGTGGCGGTGGTGGATGACAACGCAGTGAACCGCATGGTGGCGCGCAGAACGCTGCAGGGCTACGGCGCGCACGTGCTGCTGCTGTGCTCCGGGGAGGAGGCGCTGCAAGCGCTCTCCTCTGCCACGCCCTCCCCGCCCATCCACCTGCTCCTCGTCGACCTCCACATGCCGCCCGGCGTCGATGGGTCCGTGCCTTGCTCCACCTTTCGTTTGACCTGTTTACATTCTCGTGACATCAATTTGTCTATGTTGTTTTGCCATGGTTGGTCCCTGTTTCCACTTGTCCTGTGCATGACTGGTCGGTCGCTTGCTTACTGCAAATGCTATCCTTTTCTGCGCACATCTGAAACAGCTCGTCTCCCTTTGTTCCTTTTGTCGCCACCCACTGGGCCGCCTGGGTACTTCAGATTCGAAACAGCTCGTCAAGTGCGGGCCATGGAAAACACGCGTCAGATGAAAGTGGAAACGAGTGCGGAAATACGAGAAGTAGCCGATACGAGTGTAGATGATGCAAGCGCGGTAACATGCGCATCCAAGCAGCGGCTTTGCATCATAGCATTGACTGCTGACTTGGATGTAGGGATCAAGAGAGCATGCTTGGAGGCGGGGATGGATGGAGCAGTTAGGAAGCCAATAGTGGCTCAGGAGCTTGCAGCAGCTCTCTCTGCTGCAGGGTTTGTACAAAGTTCTGAGTGTTAACAATCCATTCGTTGGGGGCTCACGCCTCACCTTATGGGGCTAACAATTCCCTCGTGCATTTTGTTATTGTTATTCTTTTGTTAAAATTTATTGTCACTAATATACCGTATAGCCCCGGATATAAGCGCATATGCGCTTATAATAAAATCATTTTTTTAGGGGGTGGCGCTTGTAATTGAGTAACGGCCATAAGCGCCGCCGCTTATATAATGACAATACAAAATTATATATTTATAGCACCAAATTGTTTCATTTTCTTTTTGCCATTTCAACCGAGTCGAATTTTTTTGGCGTCACAAAGCAGAATCGCGCGCGAGCGATATTCTGCCAGCACACAGAGGAAAACACACGTCATGCCAGCACATCCTGACTGGACGCGCAGCCAGTCAGGTCTTCGAGAGTCAAACGAAGCGAAATTGAAATCTGACTCGCTGTAAAAATGAATCTCGTTAATGTTCTAAGCAATATTTGAAATTAAATTTACACATGCGCTTATAATAAGTAAAGCATTTTTAGGGGGGGCGCTTATATCCGGGGCATAAGCGCCATGCTCCAGATAGAAGCGCCGGCGCTTGTAATAGGCCGGCGCCTATATCCGGGGCCATACGGTAGTAGTCTTATCATTTTCCATTTTTGAGATCAAGAAAAGGACCTGCGGTAAGAGCAATTCAGCCGTTCGATCGAGCTATAATGTTATCGTAGTATTAGGGTACATTCCGCTGTGGAATGTGTCCCAATCGATGTGTCCCAATCACTATTTTGCCGAGTCGCGCTCAAATTTCTCGATTCTGCATGTCCCAATCGATCGATGTATTACGACTCTGCTCATATGCGCGACAATTATATGCGACCCACCGTGATTGGTCAGAGTCCATTCTGGCACACTTCTACTCCAGCAGCACAAATTGGCGGGGGAGTGCGCGTCCCTGTCAATAATTCTGGTTGTGTCTGCTCGACCAATCACAACGCTGAGTACGCGTTCCAGGGGATAGAGGGTCACGCAAAATGTCGTCCATATACATGCTGCATGAGATGACATTTGGCACCGCGTGCGATTGATGGGGTTTGTTACAATTAGCTGGTGATTGTTGCGTGAATCACGCCACCCAATGATAAATACATTCGGCGACAACCACGGGCGGCACGGCATTCCGACACCTGGCAGCATATGCTGTACGTACGCGTCTCAATCGATTGGGACACATCGATTGGGACATATTCTACAGCGGAATGTACCCTTACCATATGTTTATGTTATTGTAGCATGTGTCGCTTCGAGATTGTAACAAACAGTAGATCTATGGTTTCGTGGCTACTCGCACGACGCCATAGTAGAAGCACCCCCTTGAGTGTCGACTCAGTAAATAGCTCGGTTCCTGAACAGGTACATCATCGAATACCGTAGGTATTTCCGTAGGACTATGAACTAGTATCTTTCTTCTATCATCAATTCTTGTTCTCACAAACTACCAATACATGATTCCTACTTCCGCTAGGGCACAAGAAGTCGCCAACAGCAGGAATCGAACCCCGGTCCTCCACGCTCACCGCACCATGCGGAGAGTCACTCTACACAGTAGTGAGCTAGACTACGTAGGGGTTGGCACGAACTACTAAGAGTGATGGTAGCTTTGCTTAGTTCCATAGCACTTGCACGTTCACGGGAGAAATTGGCAAGAGTTTCCACTAGGCAAAGATTACATTACTATATGATTAAACAAGCAATGACAGAAATGACTACATCATGCACCTAGCAACTCTGCAGATAGCCTGGTCGACCGCCAGCACAGCTTGGTCGATTGCCTGCCAGCGATGCGTAGAGGAGCCGCGCTGCAGAAGGACGGCGTGCCAACGCTACAGCAGAGCGGCTGTGCAGCGTTGCATCGTTGTGGATCCGTCGGCTGTTGTCTGCGCCTGACGAGCCACATCGACTTCGGGATACCAGCCCGAAGTCGCCTTCGTCACCGCGACCTCGACGACGTTCGTGTGCCTCCGCAGAACCTCGTCACCCAGGTGACTTGGTCGACCCGGATACCACCAGGTCGGCGTCGACTTCCTCGGGGAAAGTCGACCAAAAGTTGTACGTGCTCCTCGACCTCCGAGTGCTCCGGTCGACGACTCCCTTGTCGACCACAGCTCCCGTCGAGCTACACCCTGGTCGACGGACCCCTCCGTCGACCAACACTGTCGGCTGCTGTCGCCGAGCTCCCCTCGTCGACTGCCGCTCACATGTCAGGTCGACGGGCTGTTCCGTCGACCTCCCCGTCGAACTGCTCCTCCTGGTCGGCGGCCCGACCGTCGACCAGCTCAGTCAGCTGCAGCTGTCGAGCTCCTTGGTCGACGGCTCCAGCCTTGTGACAGGCGTGTGCAGGTCGACGACCACTTCGTCGTCCTTCCCCGCAGAAGAAGGCCGTCGAACTCCCCGGTCGACGACAACACCACAGTGATTCCCTGCAGCTTGACGAAGCCCGTCGAGCAGCTCCCTCACTGTGATCGGTCGGCTGCTTCTCCCGTACATCCAACCAAGTCGTCGGCGTTGCCCAAGCGAGGGCGGGGCCAACACTCCATTCCCGTTAACACTCCCCTGCCGCGATCACGCTTGGGCCCCCAGCCCACACGGCAGTACTCCTTGAAGAAAACTCGTCCTCGGCGTGCACCCCACACACAGCACACCGTCACCGCACCAGCCGTGCAGAAGGGTACGGCACCTACTGCTGTACATCATCGTCGCCGTCGCCGACCTCGGCCAGGCGCACTTGGCCGATGGCGACAGAGCACCGGTTGAAAGCCGGAAAATGCAGCACCTTTGCAAGGAAGTCAGCCGGCTGCTCGGTGGTCGGGATGTACTTCAGCACGAACTTCCCGCGCCTCACTATGTGCTACAGCCAGGCGTAGCGTCGCTCCATGTGCTTGAGGTTGCCCGTCAACCCCAAGCCCTCAGCGACCGTGATGGCCGACTTGTTGTCCACTCGGAGGACAGTCGGCTTCCCAGCATCGAGCTGCTGGAACTCCGCAAGGAGGAAGCGAAGTCGGCGTCCCTCCTTTCCAGCATCCGTGGCCGCCACGTACTCCGACTCGGTCGACGACAAAGTCGCACACTTTATGCGCGAGTTCGACCAGGAGACGGCGGCCCCTCCGTAGACGAACACGTAGCCGCCCGTGCTCGTCCGGTTCTGCTTGTCGCCCGCGTCATCGGCGTCCACGTAGCCGATCAGCTCCAGCGACTCTGGTCCACCGCCGAACTCCAGGGCGGTGTCGCGGGTGTCAGCGAGGTAGGCGAGGCAGCGGTCGACCTCGCGCCAATGCTGGTCGCTCCTCACCGTGAGGCCGCTCCCCAGCTTGCTGCAAGCGAAGGCGATGTCTGGCCTCGTCGTCGTCGCCGCGAACTGCAGCGAGCCAACCTTTTGTCGGTACTCCTCCTCCTCGCGCTCCTGCGCCTCCTTGTCGTCGAATGTCAGCTCGGCGTAGGCGTCGACCGAGACCGGCGTCTTCGGGATGCGCCTGGTCTGCTCCTCGTCGATGAAGCGCCTGCGCAGCTTGTCATCGTAGTTCTGCTGGTGCAGCCTCAGCTTCCTCGCTGACCTGTCGCGCATGATCTCCAGCCCGAGGTACTTCACGACCGGCGATATCTCGCGCAGCTCGAAGGCGGCCTCCAGCAGCTCATTCAGCATGGCGGTGCTGCTGCTGGCGCTGAGCAGGTTGTCGACGTAGACCAGCACCCAGCAGGTCACTCCGTCGTCGCCGGCCTTGAAGTGGAGCGCCATGTCGACCTAGCTCTTCTTCCAACCAGCGCCCAGCAGCACACTGTCGAGAGCCCTGTACCACAGCAGCGGCGACTGCTTCAGCCCGTAGAGGCTCTTCAGCAGCTTGCACACCCGGCCGGTCCCATCGTCGAAGTAGTCCGGCTGATACATGTACAGCTGGCGATGCCACTGGTCGGCGCCACAGGCGACGCCCCAAGGCTCCCCTCATCGCTGGTGGCCAACACAGGTGTCGACGCAGGCCGACCTGCGACGGGGTTGGGAGGAGCAAGAGCAGGGGGCGGAGGGAGGACTTCCTCGACGTCCTCATCAGCATGCTCGTCGACCTCGGCGAGCAGTGGGAACGTCGCCGTCGAGGTGTCCGTCGGCGGGTGTGCCTGCGTCCGCTCCGACGCCGGCCCGTACTTCGCCGTCCACACCTCCAGCGACAGCGTCTCGTAGAAGATCACCTCGACCGACGTAACCACCTTGTTGTCGGTCAATTCCAGCACCTCCAAACCCTTGCTCTCCGGCGACACGCCCAGGTGAAGCCCCCAGCGAGCCTTCAGCGCCAGCTTCCCACCGCGCTGCTGCTCGGGAACCATGAACTGCACCATGCAGCCCCACACCCGCGCCAGCGTGAGGTCGGGCTTCTTCCCTGTCAGCAGCTGGTACTGCATCGTCCCCGGCGGTGTCGTCGACCACTCCAAGCAGTTGCGCACCCAGACAGCTTGTCGTAGAGCGAGGTGCCACCAGTGGTGCTGCACGCCCATGTGCAGGAGCATCATCCTCACGGACTCGACGGCCGTGCGCATCTCCCGCTCAACCATGCCGTTCTGCTGCGAAGTGTAAGGGCACGTCAGGTCGTGGACGATGCCCTTTCCGTCGACAAAGTTGGTGAACTCCTTCCCGAGAAACTCCCCTCCCCGGTCGGAGCGCAGCATCAGCACCGACTTCTTCGTCTGCCGTTCCACCAGCTCCGACCACTTCTGGAACTCCCGCAACACGTCGCTCTTCTTAGCGACCGGCACCACCGACACGAACCGAGTGTGGCGATCCTTCAGCAGTAGGATGTACAAGCTGCCATCCTTGGCAGCTACTTGAAATGGCCCGCACAAGTCAATATGCACGACAGCCAGTGCCTCCTCCGCATCCGAGCCTTTGTCGGGGAAGGTGTGCCGCACCAG